AGAAATAGAAACGTTAAGTTCAAACAAAAAACTGTATGCAAAAGTTTATAGCAGCTCTCTTCATAATTACCCAAAACTGGGAAGAACCTGAATGTCCTTTATCAAGTGAATAATAAACCAGCTATGGTACATCCATACAGTGGAATAAAAAACAAAAACAAAAAACAATTGCTGTCAAGTCAATTCTGACTCATGACTACCCCATGTGTTTCAGATTAGAACTGCACTCCATAGGTTTTCCAATGACTGTGATCTTTCAGAAGTAGATCACCAGGACTTTCTTCTAAGGTGCTACTGGGTGAATTCGAACTGCCAGTCTTTCGGTTAGTAGCCAAGTGCTTAACTGTTTGCACCAACAAGGGACTCCACAGTGGGACGCTACTCATCGAAAAATGAAACTAGTGATAAAAGCGATAACTTGAATGAGTTTCAAAGGTATTATGCTGAATGAAAGGCTACACACAGTACAATTCCATTTATATGACTTTCTTGAAAAACCAAAACTCCAGTGATGGAGAACAGCTCAAAATTTGCCAAAGGCAGGGGTTTGGTGACAAACAGAATACAGTAAAGGGAGTTTTCTGGGGCTGGAACTCTTCTGAATCTTGATTATAATGGTGGCTACATTAATCAACACGAGTTAAAACTGATAGAACCATACACCAAAAAAGTCAATTTTACTGTCCATTAATTTAAAAAAATAAAATTAAAATAAAAAATAACCGTCCCGAAATCCCACGTCACTCTCCAATTACTGTCACATTGTTTGGTTCTCAGCAATATTTGATACCATCGGTCACTCCCTCTTCAACCTTTTCTTCTTTTGCCTTCCAGGAAATCACATTGTCTAGGTTTTCCTCAAACCTTATTGGACAGTTCTTATCTGTCTTCTTTCTTGCTTCTCTCTAATATTCTAGTTGCTAAATGTTGAAGTTCCCAGTGTCAATCATCTGCCTACTCGTCTAGCTACCTTGCCGCATAGGTCATTCCCATCCTGCCCATGGCTTAAATATTAGCATCTGCATGCTGACGAGCTACTCGCTCCAACCCCAACAACTCTACAAACTTCCCAACTTTTCTATGTAACTGTCTGGGTATGATCTCTACCTGGCACCTCAAACTTCACATGGACAAAATAGAACTTGTGATTTCCAAATGCATCCTCTGTCCAACCCCTAAACCTATCTTCCCTTGGGAGTCTATATTTCAGTAAAAGTCATTCCCAGTCACCATAACTCACCTGGGTGACTAATCTTAATTTTACTCTGTCTATTCTCTACAGAGTAGTCACCATGATTTTTTTAAAAATGGAATCATAACACATTACTCCTCTTCAAAACCACCCAAGGCCTTCCCATTACATTTAGAATAAAATGCAAACTTCTTGCCTTTGCCTATTGTTATTATTAGGTGCTGTAAAGTCGGTTCCGATTTAAAGTGACCTTATGTACAACAGAACGAAATGCTGCCCAGTCCTGCACCATCCTCACAACCTTTTCTATGCTTGAGTCCATTGTTGTAGGCACTGTGTCAATCCATCTCTTTGAGGATCTTCCTCTTTTTTGCTGACCCTCTACTTTACCAAGTATGATGTCCTTCTCCAGGGACTGGTCCTTCCCGATAACATGTCCAAAGTACATGAGACGAAGTCTCACCATCTTTGCTTCCTAGGAGCATTCTGGCCTATAATGTCCTTTACAGTGTGACTCCTACCTCTCCCTGTCTACCATCTGACGTCATTGCCTACCTCCCTCCCCCAACCCGACCCTGTTAATTTTTTTCCAGCCCACACTGGCTTATTAGGTGTTTCCTTAACATACCAAGGCCATCCCTTCTTAGGGTCTTAGTTCTTACTGCTCCCTCTGCTTGGATTTTCTTATCACTGTATGACAATATAGCACATATTTGTTAGTTTACTTTCCGATTTTCTATGCCTCTGCTAGAACATAAGACTTTGTCTGTCTTCTTCACCATTGTATTCAGTGTTTAGAACAGTGCTTATCATGTGGCTGGTGTTTCATAAACGCTTGTTACATGAACCAGCAAATTCAGCCACACTAGCATAATGTTCCCTCTGGGCCATAGTTGGAACTGAGTAATGGGTGTCCTCTTCAGAACTCCCTCTCCAGTTCAACCCAGTCTCCACAACTCTATTTTTCTACACCGGTCTGCTTTACATGTTTATGTGTCCTGCCTGTTCTGTACTGGTGTTAGAGTTTTGACCCCTGCATTAAATTATATTTAAGGCACTGAAAACTGTAATAAATTTCCCAATACTAATAAATTTTTTAGGGGAAAATTGACAACGGTGCCCATTTGAAAAATTTTGTGTAGGTTCCTTCCTTCTTTTCTTGCTATTTTCCTGTGATATTGAATCATTGCAATTCTATGATTGGTGGTGGTAATTTAATTTAAATATAAATGATGCTCTTGTAACTCCCTTTAAAAATATATGAGTTTAAAACAAGTGCATACTCAAACCTGTGACAGCCCATTAGACGTAAGCCAAGCAAGATATTGAGACTTTGATCCAGGTAATAAACAATTTTTCACTCTCTTCCTTAAAAAAATCAGTGATTCTTATAGTTTTTCATAGGTAGCAAATAATCATTATTTACTTGATAGATAAAATATTCATTGAATATTTGTGGAACTTAAGTTCAAGTATATATCATATTGCTTGGTATTCTCAGGGGAGTCTTATTTAATCATTCTATGTCTCGAGTTTTTCTAATCTCTAATCCCAAAATTGATACTAATTCATAGCACACAGTGAGGCTTCAGTGGCTAACACCATCAAGTGTTTAGAAAGCGTCTGAGTAGAAATTATATAAACCTTTCCTGGGAAGAATGTAAAACAAGTATCATCCTGAAAGGTACACGTTATATGAAAAACACGTAATTCATTGTAAACATTACAATGCTCTGAAAAGATTTATTCCACCCCCAGGTTTCAAAACAACTCAAAGTACCAGTTTTTCACCAATAAAGCTTTGTATGTCAGTTAGTAAATATTGAGTCTGGTGAGGACTGCAGAAAGAACTCAGCCAAATATTCACATAAGGGAAATAAATGTAAAAATATACTTCTACCAAATGTATTCAACTCCAGGGCAAATTGCTTTCCCAAGTAAATTCTATAGAAAGCCTGTACTTTATAACTCATTAGCAATAACAGTCCCCTTTTTCATAACTAAGAGTGCACCAATCAGATTGCAACAGGTTTTATTTCATACATTTGTCAAATGTGCTCATCCACTAAACCTCTGGCCACATTAAAAAGCCAAAATATTAATAAGAAAGAAAAACCAGTCCACATTTCTCTGTGCCTGAAAGGACTCCTCAGGGCATTCAGAGAAAAGACTGACTTCAGAAGAAGTTATATCCTAATTCTTTTCTCCCACCTTATTTAGTTTGCTCTTTAAAAGGCAAATATCACGATAGCAAAACTTCACTGTCTTTAAGCAGTAAAAATATACCAATAGATCTTAAGGCTACGCTGGCAAACCAGTCATTAAAGAAACGTAGAATTTTATTGAGGGGAGGACAATGAAGAATTTAGTAACCGTTTTGGGTTTTTTTAAAGAATATCTCTTTATGAGGCAGTTTAGGCAAGAACATTAAACTATTTTATCATTATCTTTATTCTTCTTCCTTGATTAAGACTAATAATAAACACATAAGGTATATAAAAATATGGTGAAGTTGAAAGGATAGTATATTTGGAGCCAAAAGACCCTAGTTCAAGTCCTGGCTCAGTCATTATTCAATTTAATGTCATTGGATTTTAGGCTTCAGCACTGGATGGATGGTGTTGCCATTTACTAAGATGTGAAGAAGTGGTAAGAGCATCTTTGGAATTGAGACCAGAAACCAGTAGTTCTGTTTTGGACCCATCAAGTTTGTAAGGCCTATCAGTCACACAAGTGGAGATGTTGAGTAGATAGCTTGACATAATAACATGTAGTTAAAGGAAGGGGTAAAAATAGAAATATATTTGACATTGAGAGAGAGGGGCAGAGATGGAGAGGAAAAACAGGAGAGTGTGGTAACATTGAAGAGAAGAAAGTGTTTCAACAAGAATAGAGGTAGTAAACTGTGTTGAAAGCTGCTGAGAATTCAAGCAGGATAAGACCAAAGACCTTGCCGTTTAATCTGTCAACATGGAGGTCATGGGTTACCAGGGGATGGGTAGAGATAGAAACCTGATTTTTGTGGTCTAATAAAAGAATCCAAGGTGAGGAAGAGAAGACATTGGTGATAGTGATAAAAAAATATTGGGGGAGTGTAGAGTGGGCCCATGGGAGGGTGCTTTAAAGACAGGAGATACTGGACAAGATCTTTAAAGACAGAGGATACTAACAAGGAATATGTTAATTTGTATAACTGAGCCTAGGTGAGGAAGTATCCAAGATTAGAAAACATGGTTCACAATGTTTGAAGGAAATGGGTAGCAGGGTGAGTCAGTGAAAGAGAACGCAAAGTAGGACAGAGCTGCTTACAGTGGTATCGTGGATGGAAATGGGAGAGGGAGAAGGACCTACACGGAAGGTACTCAGAGTATCCAAGAAGTGTCAGGCATGGTGTTACAGTCTAGAGCTGCTTCGTGTACTGATGGTTTCTTCATTCCTGCTAGCTCCCTTTCCTTGAGTTTTATGTTTGGGGTTATTGTGGTCTAAAAATACTGCAGGGCAGAGGTGATGAAGGAAGGCCAGCTCTTCACAAGAAGTGGAGTAGGGCTAAACAAGTCCCAAGCCAGAAGACCTGAGACTTACTCCTTGCCTTCTACATGGCAGGTCTTTATGCAAATAATTTTCTATTGACTTTGGGCCCCTTTTTTCTATCTATACAACAAGGTGGGTGGACTTCTAAGCCCTCTCACCCCCACCAGGTGGCAAATATTCTTAGCAGCTTCTGTTCTGGAAGAGATTCAGTGTTGTACTTTTGTTTAATTCTTGCAAAATGCCACACATTTCCTGGGTTGTGATTGTCACCACTTACTGTAACACTATTTTTCATCAGCTCCCAGCTCAAAGCCAGGGTGGCAGGCACAAGTGAATGATCCCGTAGTGTTCACACAGTGATGGCCAGAGGGAGCAAGCCCTTCAGCACACTCATTTATATCTGCAGAAGGAGATACACATTTGCTATATCTTTGAGTGCTAATGAAGACTTAACATTTGCAAATTACAAAAAAGAACCAGGGCATTCCTCCACAGGCAGTATAACAGCAGAGCACACATGGCCTCCAACTTCTTTGTGTGAAAGGGGCATTTGCAAATCAATCAGCCGCTTAGGACATTAACTCTACAGTGTTGGTCTTGGGATCCCAAACACTTAGCAGCCAAGCTCATAACCACTGCACCACCAGGGCTGCTTCTATTTATTAGAACCTACCAATACCTGTTAGCTGGAAGAAAGAAAAAACAAAACAGACAAAAAATAACCCGGTCTATACCTTAATAATACAGGTAGACATACTGTAATTTTTCTTTAGGAACATATATCACATTCTTAACCAAAAATGGCATCTTCCTGATCTACAGTAGACAATACATGTGGTCAGGGGCAAGGTATGTTTTGTGCCTTCATATGTGTTGTACATATGACTGCCACAGGGCTGTGCCATTTAAACACTGGCACCCTCTCTCTTTCTTCTTACACCAATAGCCATTTCTAATCAGCATGACTTCAGGGTTGTGGCCAAGCTAATCCCTGCTACTTCCTTTAAATGGGTAGGTTTTACCACCTTTTCCCCAGCTAGTACTTTTTCTTTGTACTCTCCTGTATGCCATCATATCAGGGCTCTTAAGACAAATATTTATTCTTTAACATGCTGGTAAAACCCTAAGTAGGCAACAAATTTGGGGAGAAGCTTTCTAGTAAATCAGATTTTAAATAAAAATTTGAAGATACTATATATATTATATATATATATAATATATATATATATACAAAAAAAAACACAAAACAAACGCGTTGCTGCTGAGTCGGTTCTGAGTCATAGCAACCATATAGGACGGGGTAGAACTGCCCCATAGGGTTTCCAAGGAGCATCTGATGGATTCAAACTGCTAACCTTTTGGTTAACAGCCAAGCTCTTAACCACCGTACCACCAGGGCTCCAAATATATGTATATATATATACAGAGAGAGAGAGAGAGAGAGAGAGGGGCTATATACATATATATGTGTGTGTGTATACGTATATACACACAGTCTCTGTCTATATATGTGTATGTATATACATCTATATATGAAGTATTTATACCAAAAAACACACGCAATTGTCAAGCTAATTCTGACTCATGGTAACCCCATGTGTTACAGAGTAGAATTGCTCCATAGGGTTTTCTTAGCTGTAATCTTTATGGACACAGATCATCAGGACTTTCTTTCACAGCACTGCTGGGTGAGTTTGAACTGCCAACCTTTAGGTTAGTAGCTGAGTGCAAATTATTTGCACTACCCAGTGACATGTATATATATGCTAGGCACTGCAGAAACAGGGGACTAAGGCATTTCTGGTCTCTGTCAGAAAAGCATGTTAACACCATCTGTGGAAAGTCTTAGTTTTGGTTTAGAGAAAAAAAAATAATTGAACACTAATTTTTATGTCTAATTCTCTTCCAAATTCTCAAAATGTTTCTCAGTCCCATAAATCAGGAAACGTTTTAGTATTTTTATAATTAATCCAAATAAACTGCTTCTCATTTCATGAAAATGTCATGATAAAATTGAAAGATTCTGTGATTTCTCAAAAGTTATTAAAACAAAGACTGTCCCACAGGACTGACTTCATTTATCAGTCCTGGTCATGGAATAATTTATTGCTTTTATCTTAGAATTGAAGTGTGTCTGTTTTGCTATTTCTAGGAAACAGAAATGTATAACCTTGTATTTATAGAGTTTCTTTTTTATTTTAATTATTCTTAACTTCTGAGAAAACTCATTTGCACTACTTTGCTTTTCAAAGGTTGTCTCCACCTTCTGTAGCCTATAATGAAAAACTCCCTGTGTGGTTATGGGAGTTTTGAAATATTAATTCTGGGATTCGCTTCAGAATAAGAAACAGAAAACAAAGAGCATAAATTCTGAAACTACACCAGGTCATTTTTTTTTTTAATTGTAACTAAGAATTCCATTGAGTTTTTATAGCATCATAAAAATACCTTTCAGAATCATCAAATAAGAATTTAAATGTTCCTTTTTAAGCATAAATGAAAACACCTTTCCTCCTACCTGTTCTGTCTGTTGAAAACAGAATTATCACAAAATTTCAAACAATTACACAGTTAAGCCATCAGCTTCAGTTTTCTACCTCCACAGGCCTTTTTGTCTTCAGGCAGCTGGTACCCCAGCCACGCCACTCTCACTTTGACAGATGTTGGCACATCCATTCCCACCTGTGCAGGGGTCCATCTCTGAGAGCAATTAAGCAGTGAGTGTTAATAATTCATTCACTTTAGAAAGATACACAGATTGAAAAGGTGGAGAGAGAATGGTGAACTAGAGTGAACTAGAGCTATTAAGTTTCTTACATAAAGACGGTAAGGACTCCGGAAAGTCCTTCCGTTTCAGATGGAACTAATTCAACAAAAGCTTTCCCATTTTGAGACCTGGACTCCAAAATCTGAACAAACTTAACGTGGATCAAGGCCACAGAAGAATTAATTTAATCTCACTCCTCCCAAAAGCATATCTCCTGCTCTTGGCAACCCAAGTTAGAGAGAGTTGAGTGGGAACTCCTCCATACAACTTTGCATTTTTTTCCTTTTCTCCCCACTGTTTCTATTCCTTTAAGTAGCAGGATCATCCTTAGGTACACCCTTTTGCTTCCTCCAGGTTCCCTCTCTCTTTGGATGCATAGTCCCAGCGTGAGGAGAAGGCAGGCTGGAGCTACCACACCCTGGAAGATCTCTAGCTACAGTTGCCTTGGGGATGGTAATAAAGAAGTTTAAATCCCATTGGAAGTAAGTCAGCTGGCCTCCTTCTCCCCTTCACGGGTCCTGTCTTAATCGGTTTTATTCATAGTCTCTGGATCTGGTGTAATTGGAAGTCATACATTTTATCAAGCAGTTGGGACTACAGAATTTCTACTTGCCCCACTCCAAAACCCAACCTGCTCTATACCTTTTTTTTTTTTTTTTTTTAGATAACACACAGAGTATAACAAGCAAAACAATATACAAAGCTACCAAACTGTTCCCTATTCATCCACTTCCAATATTATCACTACCATACATAAAGGCTTTAGTTTCTTGTGTATCCTTCTAGACTTTTTTTATACAAAATACAAGTTATATACGTATGGTATATGTTGTGGTATACACAATAATCACTATTCTTCTATTTCCTTGTTGGATAGGGATTCTGGTGAATCTGTAGATCAATTTGGTAAGTATTGCCATCTTAACAATATTAAGTTATCCAATCCATGAACACGAGATGTCTTTCCATTTATTTGTTGTCATTGTTATTAGTTGCCAATGAGTAGGCGCCAACTCATGGTGACCTTATGTACAACAGAACGAAATGTTGTGAGGTCCTGTACCATCTTCATGATTGCGGGTATGTTTGAATGTATTTTGTAGTGCCTTTAAACCTAGGGGGCTCATCTTCCAGTACTACATTGGACAGTATTCTCTTGTGATTTACGAGGTTTTTATTGGTTAATTTTTGGAAGTAGATTCCCAGGCCTTTCTTCCTAGTCTATCTTAGTCTGGAAGCGCCACTGAAATCCATGCACCATAGGTGACCCTGCTGGTATTTGAAATACCAGTAGCATAGCTTCCAGCATCATAGCAACATGTAAGTCACCACACTACAACAAACTGACAGATGGGTGATTGTTCATTTATTTAGGTCTTCTTTAATTTCTTTCAGCAGTGTTTTATAAATTTCAGTGTAAGCACTTCTTTTGTTAAATTTATTCTTACTTTTTTTTCTCATTTTCGTTTCTAGATTGTGCATTGATACTATACAGAATAGAGGAGCCCTGGTGGTGCAGTAGTTAAAGCACTCAGCTGCTAACCAAAAAGTCAGCCGGTTGAACCCACCAGTTGCTCCTATTTTATTCTTTTTGATGCTATTGTAAATGGAATTTTTTTTTCTTACTTTCATTTCCAGAGTGTTCACTGATAGTATAGAATACATTTGATTTTTGTATTGATCTTGTATTTTTCAGTTTTGCTGAATTTGTTTATTAGGTCTAAAATTTTTTTTTTTTTATATATCTAGTGTATTCTTTGAGATTTTGTACACATAAGATCAAATTACCTGAAAATGGAGATTGTTTTACTTTTTCTTTCTAATCTGGGTGCCTTTTATTTTATTTTCTTGCCTAACTGCCCTGATTAGAACCTCCCGCACAATGTTGATAGAAGAGAGCATCCTTATCATATTCTGAATTTAGAGGGGAATGGTTTCAGTCTGACATGAGTAACTATGATGTTAGCTGTGGTATTTTCACAGCTATCCATTATCAGGTTGAGGAAGTGCCCTTCATTCCTAGTTTGTTGAGTGTTTTTTTTTTTTTTTTTTAATCCTAAAAGGGTTAAGAGTTTTCGTCAAGAGCTTTTTCTGCGTCTATTGAGATGATTGTGTGATTTTTGTCATTTATTCTATTGACATGATGTACTACACTGATTGCTTTTCAGATGTTGAACTAATCTTATATTCCTGGGACTAATCCCACTTGAAAATAGTGTATAATCTATTTCATATGTTGGTGGATTTGGTTTCCTAGTATTTTGTTCAAGATTTTTACATTTATATTCATAAGAGATACTGGTCTGTAGTTTTCTTTCTAATGATATCTTTGTCTAGTTTTGGTATCAGGGCACTACTGGCCTCGAAGAATGAGTTGGGAAGTGATCTCTTCTATTTTTTGGAAGTGTTTGTGGATAATTAGGAGCCCTGGCTGTACAGTGGTTAAGCTCTGGGTTGCTAGCTGAAAGGTCAGTGGTTCAAACTCACCAGCCACTCTGCAGGAGAAAGAGGTGGCAGTCTGCTTCCATAAAGATTCAGCCTTGCTGAATATAGGACACAGGATTGTACTAGACAGGTACCAACCTAGGAAATGAACTCTTAAGGACTATGCAAAACCAAAAGAATTACAAAAGGGATATCTGTAAATGACAACAACATCAGAACAATAAAAGAGGGAATGAACAGTGTAGGTATAGAACCTTCTAATGTAGAGGAAGTCAAGTGATACCAAGTAATAATAGACTGGTTCAAATCTAGGAAGATAAGGGTAAATTCCAAGGTAATCACAAAGAAAGTTAACAAA